ACATAGGAGTTCTCATAGTTTAATCGTAGCAACTGGACTTGCTTGAGTTCCTTGAAGACGTTCCACCTTCATCCAAGAGGCTTCATCAGTTCTGACTGAGGAGTTGGGAGTTCCAGATACTCATGAAACCACATCCTCACCTAGCCACAAAAGACCCCGACAAACCCCATTGTGGTGACGACTCACATAACGAGGGGGAGGAGCCAACAAACTCCCAAATGAAACCGAAACTCAGGTGTTAATGGCTCCTTTAGGATATCAGTATGTGGAACTTCCAACTAGTCAGTCAGAACTGATGAAGCCTCTTGGATGAGAGGTGGAACGTCTTCAAGGAACTCAAGCAAGTCCAGTTGCTACGATTAAACTACGAGAACTCCTACAAGTTCTTTCCTGCGTTATGTTTGGTTCGCCACCAAAACTCTGCGCAGTGCTCGAACAACTTTGTTTGTTCTTCGATCATTCGATGCCCTCCGATACTCGAGGAACTTTGTTGGACTTTGCTGCTGCCACTATTATAAAAGCACTGAATGCAGCCAACCAACGACTGGAGCCAAAAAAACATCATGATGCAACGATGACGCCACAGAAAAATGTTCATTATAACAAATTCAAAGGGTAAATGTTGATGCTAATTGGTCTTAGCAGCTCTACCGCAGTATGTTGAGCTCTCAGGGCCACCGTAGTTGAGCTTCCAGTTGATGGACTTCCTCTCTTTTCAAGGGAAAAACACGAGAAACTCAGGAGCTCTTTTTCATTTCCACCAATAAGTTCTCGTATTTACACCGACCCTGTAGGAGCGCAGACTAATCCTGGCAGCGTTGGAGGTTTCAGTCGCTGTTTACTCAGTGGGCCGAGCATTTCATTACCACTGCATTAGCTGTACTGCACGATGTTCCGAGACATTCCTCTCGGGTATATGGCAATAACGCCGCATCAGGGAGTGTGCTTTAAAGACTGAGACTGAGAGCTACATCAGCACCGACATAGCAAATTTCAACTCTTACTTTGGGCCCTTGCAAGTCACATCGCTGCCTTTCAGCCAAATATCAACGAGGAGTCATCATCGTGTCCAAGCTGCCCTCGGTCGGCGTTATCTTGCTGATTGTAAACAAACTTTCTAAACATTTCGTCATCCTCCCCGGATAAGATAAATGCTGCAACGTTTTCTTGGACTCAGCGCAGCGTTGACTCGGGGTTTTGGAGTTGAAGCGACCCAGCCAGAGCTGCTCTCCGCTGGGTGATGGATCCCTTATCGGCCTCCCCTCCTGTTCATCCTTCCACCTTCCTCGCCCGTCTTCCTCACTGTCCTTGGAGCTGCTCGCCGGCTCAGTAGTTCTCAGCAAGTAGGACATTTTTATAGAGCATCGGTTTAGTTTGTGACAAGTTTTTTGCAGCACTTTAAATGATATATTCAGAGTTGTTTTTTTTTAAATCTCTTTACTGTCAACAATCCACACAAAGCGTCGGCGTCTGTGTGCTTCGGCTCCACTGTTTGCTTGTTTGCTCTACTGATGAAAAATTCAGCATCCAGCACAGATGCGTCTGCGTTGGATTGTGAGTCACAGATTCAAATCAGTTCTCTTCCAAATTCACCGTCCCCACAGGATGAATCCCACTAAAATGTTCGACCCACTTGCTTTTGCTGCTTCACCAGTGAGCTCTGACTTGTCCTGACAAATATCTCAACATCTACCTTGTGGGTTGGAACTAGATAGACATTCGTGGTTCTCAGAGGATGAATCCTACTAACTGTTGGTTGTCCTGTAGATCCACCTGCAGCTTCTCATGTATCTTGAGAAATATCTTAGCATCTACCTTGTAGATTGGATCTAAACTTTGTTAAAACATTCGTGGTTCCCAGAAGATAAATCTAGGAAGATTCATCCATTTTTGTGACCCTGCACTTCTACCAGTAGGTTCTTACTTATCCTTTTATTTATAACACAACATATTATGAACTGGAACTACAGTTTTCACAGACATTTGTGGTTCTCAGAGGATGAACTTTGCATATTTTTGTGAGCCGCTAGTTTGTATTGTTGTTCTACCACCAAGTTCTCCCTGTTTTGAGAAATATTTTACCTTCTTGTTTACTGCAACTGAACTTTACGCAGACATTCATGGTTTCCAGAGGATGAATCCTACTAATTCTGGAGACCTGCAAGTTTGTCTAGCAAGTTCTCATTCATCCTAAGAAATATCTTAACATCTATCTTGTGGATTGGAGCTAAAGCTTGTGTCGACATTCGGGGTTACCAGTGCACAAATCCTACTAATTCTGCTGACTCGCTTTCTTTAATTTTAGTTCCACCTGCAACTCACGTTTCTTGACAATTATCATAGCATTTTGAAGTTTGGAACTAAAGTTAGTGCAGATATTCATGGTTCCCAGAGGATAAATGATGAGTGCTGGTGGTGCAAACAAGTTCTTAATACGTACTTGAAAATATTAGCATGCTAGCACACTAGACTAAGCCGGTGAACATCGTAAACATTATACCAGCTTGGAATTAGCATGCTAGCATTGTCATTCTGACCACTTAGTACTTAGCTCAAGGCCCTGCTATATCCACCAGCATTGGTGTACACTCTTTTTTTTTATTATTATTAGTAATTCCTGTTTGTGCAATATTTTCCCATTTTTGTCATTCAACGCATATTTTTTAATGTGAAAATAGAAAATGTGCATAAAGACAGGTGGATAGAAATCCATGTACGGAGCTACTAGCGTAGTTGTCAACTTGTGCTGATTCAATATTCCTCCTAAAACATTTTAGGAGGAATTAAAGCTTGTCAAACAGCAGTTAGGCTCTTTTCCAATAGTAAAAAAAAAGATATCGCTAATAAGTGAATGTTAGCATGTTAACAAATATCGGCGTGTTAGCATTGTTGCTAACACGCTAATATATAGCAACATGCTAAGCTGTTGCTAACATGCTAAATCTGGTTTGTGGGGTTAAGTAAAACCTCACAAACTGGATATTCATGCAAATGCAGCACAAATTTCTGAAGGAATTTCCATAAAATTGGCAAAAGAAAATTCATTTGCATCTCCATCCATGGCCATTATGCAAATATTTAAAATCGGTATAAACAGTCGGTGCTGCTAATTCTCCAACTGGATGCCGCTGAGATTGCAGTAATGTAACTAAAAGAGCAACTTTAAAACCTCTGTTTTTTTAAAAACAGCAGAATAACATCAGTGATTTAGAAATTTAAATCTCTAATGGTGGAAAATGAAGTGGAAAACAGTTTCAATCCACACGGATCTGATGTTGTTGTTGCTAATTTATGCTCTTGCACATTAAGTTTTTATCTCTGCACACGTATTTTCAGATAATTTGAGGTTTGTTTTCCTAATTTAAGGCGATTTTATGTGCAAAACTTTAAAGCGAACGCCTGCAGACCCACTTCACTCACAGAAAGTTCACATTTACAGCAAACTCTGGCCTGTTTTCTCAGTTAATGCGGTTCCAAGCTGAAACCTCGATGCCGATCAAAACAAGCGGACCGAGAATAAAGGGATCAGTCGGGCGGCCGAGAGCACTTTAAACCGCCGAGTGTTGGAAATCCGAGTGCCAGTCAGCAGGAGGGAGGATCTGCTGGAGGCTGAACACGCCGCAGACATGTTTGAGACACGCCGGCCACCAAACCATAATCTGCTCGGTCAGACGCCATCTGTGGTCTCAGGCTGCAGGAAGGTGGCGGCGACAGATTAGCGACGACGAGCGAACTCATGAATTAGTAACGAACGGAAATTAGACCAGTGAATTAGCGAGTGATGGACGGGCAGGTTCCTCTGTCTGGTGTCGCTCCATTAGAGGTTTGAAAGCTGTAATTAACAGACGCGATCGTGACGAATGCATCGTTAATATTATTGATTAGCTATAAGTAGAGCGGTCTCTGTCGATTAATCTGTTGATTTTTTTTGTTCGTGTTTCGTCTATAAAATGGTGAAAAATGTGAATTAGTGGAAGATAGTCTGAAAATATTCACAATAAAAAGCTCAAATCTGTGAATTTTGACTTTTCCTCATTAAAAAAAATCTAATTGATGAATCTATTACCAAAATAGTTTCCGATTAATTCAGTCGATAACTAATCAGTTAATCAACTGATGCAGCTGTGTTTAAAAAACATTAATTACACCAATTTCTGAGCTTAAAAAATCCTCTTTTTAGCTTAAATTAATGAGGGAATCTGCTTTGTTGACCAGAATTAATTTCTAAACCTCTTATTAATAGAATAGTACAATGAATACAGTCCTGTTGGTGCATTGAAGCCATTAAAACAACAGTTTTAGTATTTAAATAAAGTAAGAAACATGCAAATATAAAAACAGAAATATAGTTTGAATTTAAGGATGCACACTTGATGGATTCTTAATTCCTTTATTATCAGTATATTCATGTTTAGAATAGCAGGAGACGAACTTTTAAAGGTTTATTAGGAATTACGAACCCAAACACACTTTAAAAATGTCATATTAGTCTGACAAAACCCCAAAAAAGGAAAGAAACAGGCGTGTCATTACCAAGATATTTTCTTTAAATCGTTGTTTTTATGAACCTAAATATATAATCTTGCATCAACATTTCACATTTCCTGTATTGTTCTCTCTACTTTGCAAGTTTTGCACACAAATTAATCTTTATGCACAAGTTAAATACGGGTTAAAACACATTTAATCAACAACTAGAAACGCTGATTAACAGTTTATATGCGCACCTGCTCTTCCTGAGTCATTAAAGAAGCAAAGAGACAAGCAAAGAGGAGGATTTTCCCCAACCTGGCAACCCAAAGGTTGTTCTTATTGAAAGTTTATGTGATTTATTAACACGACTAATCATTAATAAAGTCATTAATGCACCAGTAAACCTTTTATAAACAGTGAATGATTGTAGTAAAAAAAAGGACTTTCAGGCGTAAATCAGTGAACACATGAATGAATGAATGAATGAATGAATGAATGAGAGACTTAAACAAAGATGGAGGTCGTTCATGAAACACGAGCAGACGGAGCTGGCGGTGGCTTCGGAGGGCAGCGGTGGAGACAAGAGCTCTGTGATGTTCCAGCAGCAAATTAAATCACTTCAATGTAAAACGCAGACGACGGAACGCTCTTATCTTCACCCGCTGAATCTGAGGAAAGAGTTAACGTCAAATCACTGTGGTTAGTTTGACCTCTGACTTCCTGAATAAAGCAACACTTGAATCCGTCATATTTAGCATCAGAAGAGCTCTGCGTGAGCATTTAAACGTGATTTATTACAGACTTGTGCAGCTGCAGCTTTATGGAAACAGAATGAAGGAGGAGAAAAAACTCAGAGATGTTTTCTGTTCAGGAGTTAGAATGACAGAAATCATTAAAAATAAGAAAAATGAAAAAAAATAAATACATTTAAACATTAAATCAACAGGTTTCTATTGATGTTATAAACTCTGTAAATAACAAAAACAACTTTACACGGCACAGATGTTATAGTTATATAACAATAACGTCCTACACAGGCTGCAGTTCAGCTCAAACGTCTGAATGTTTCTCACACGAGCGTTTTAGTCGCTGCTGAGTCACTGATGACTCAGCAAGTTCAGAATTTTTAGTTTTTTACAGAATCTGATAACAGGAAATGTTTGATTTTTTGCAAATTTTTAAAGAAGACATATAGAATAAAGTGATTTTACTGAAATATGCAGATTTGAAGCTTAGTTTTGTCACAAATGTGTCGGAAAGTTTAAAATATGACGATTGTTTTGGTTTTTACAGTTTGTGGCACTAATAAATGGTGTCATTTTGGTGATTTGAACTAAAAAAGTAGGTTAACAAGCGCTTAAATCTTCTTTTTTCGTTTAATTTCATTTCATTTATTTCAGACATGCCAAAGTATAATAAAGACAAAAAACCCAGAAAATCAATATATAATTTAAAAAAATAACAACCATCACAAATCCAAAACCTGTGATAATGTCTGAAAACGAGAGTTGTGTGTGATTTCCTAAATGTTTATACTCCTTTAAATATGAATGAATAAAAGGTTAAATCAAAATGTTTGCACTGTAACTGAGATTTCATGTNAGTTGTGTGTGATTTCCTAAATGTTTATACTCCTTTAAATATGAATGAATAAAAGGTTAAATCAAAATGTTTGCACTGTAACTGAGATTTCATGTTTAAAATCACAAACAAACACATTTCTTGGTTTAAAAACATTTTTTTTGTTGTCATCATCAATATACCACACAAATAAGTCAATAAATAAAATCAGGCTGGTGGCTGGTATTTAAATGTGCAGCTTTTATAGATATTAAATTATTTGAAGGGAACCGTCTCTCCCATGTTTACTGGAACCTGATTGGGTTCAAACAGTCGGTAGCATCTATGATTATTTATTTCATCTGATTGTTAATGTGTTAGATTCTATTTCATTTATTCAGTTTTATTGGGTTTTCTTTCCTCTGCTGAAGTCATTTCCTCAGTGGATCTGTAGAGTCTCCCTTCAGACCAGAGGATGCTCCAGGAGGACAGATGTTAACGTTTCTGTTCCCGTTCCCTGCAGCTCTCCTGGCCAGCTGTGACGCCTTCAGACTGGGCTCGTCGCAGCAGCGCGTCATCCCGCTCAGCGCCCCGGTGGCCCGCCTGCTGCAGGACGAGGGCCAAGCCCGGGCCTCACGCTTCGTCCAGGAGCTGGTCCGAGCCAAGCGCCACTCGGTCCACGAGCTGGTGCGGGCCCAGCCCCACCTGGTCCACGACATGGGCTGGCCCGAGATCCACGAGACGTCCCGCTCGCAGGGCAAGACGGAGTCGGTCAACTCGTCGCAGCTGAACGCTCCGGCGAGGACCAGCGCCGCCGCCAACGACAACCTGGACGTGGAGGACGAGATGGAGGTGAGGAGGAACCGAACGGGGCTGAAGTTTGTTACACAGGAAACAAAGTTCACTAAATGAGTTCAGTTGCCATGACAACTGATGCTGCAGAGTGAACAAATTACTGCATTTACATTAAAACGACCAAAGAAAATGAAGAAAAGTGCAACAGATGAACTCATGATATGGCACTTTTTATGTTCTTGTGCTGATGTTTGAAACTTCCCAAAATGTCCGTTTTTACAGCTAATATTTATCAGTATTTCCTTAAACACGCAGTTTGTTGTACGTGCGACTGTTATTACGTGATGTTTCTGCTGCTACCAGAGCCAAACCGGTACTAGGTTTTTAGGGGTAAAACATTCTGTCATCGGCATATCGACTGATATTCATGATTTCATTACGTAGAAGTATAAAGTTAGGTTTAAAACATAACGAGGTCTTTGTTTATTAACCCTCTGAACCCCAAAACCTGCCTGTGAGTTGCAAAACATGTGATTTTTGAAATAAAACTCAACAAATGACATCATCAATCGCAACAAGAGACTGTAAAAACAGAAAAACAGCAGATTTTCAAACTTTTCAGTGAACTAGAACTTTTCAAATAACCAGAGAGTTTCATTAAAAGCACTTCATTCTACACAAGTCAGTTCAGAATTTACCAAAAACAAACAGTTTGCACCAGATTCCGTGATTTAATGATAACAAACAAAATGCTGAGCAGCCATTCGGGGCTCAACGTGACGATAAATTCTGGGATTTTCGGTTGAACTCAGGCACACAAAGCAGAGAGGAGACGAGGATGGAAACTAAAAAACAAATAAAAGTTAAATATCTGTTGCATGTGGAGCCACCAGTTTGGCTCCAGTGTTGGTAACACCTGTGGACATACTGGTTCCAGTGTTTTAAAAAATGTAAAAATGATTCATCAAAGATATTCTTCTTTTTAAAAAATATATAATTTAAGACATTTCTTTAATCGGTCAACTGGCTCCTTTACTGAGGCTCCTTAATGTCACAAAAGCATTTAATTGTTGTTGTGACAGATGAACTGATTTTAAGGATTTAAGATGGAAACAAACAAAACGAGGTGCAGCGAGAGGAGAGAGAAGCAACCAGCTTTCCTTCTTTTCATTTCATCAACACAACGTTTAATCAGCGGCTAAATCATCTAAATTTATCTCTGAAAAATGAGCTCCAGCCTCTTTTAATTACAGCGACTTAAACACTTGAGTCTCGCTGACTTGAAATGAGAAATGACGAACAAACCGACGTGAGCTAACGAGGACTCATTTAGGTGTTTTCTGAATGTTAATTGATGACAGTAATTAAACATTTGTGATGATGTTTTTGTGAACTCGTATTCTGCAGCTCTGTTCTGACTAATCTCTCTCCACCCTCAGCGGATGGTTCATCTGGCGGTTCCCCAGGATGCCGGAGGCTTCGGGGGGCAGTCGGACGCCGCTGACCCAGAGACGGAGCTCCTTGGTGGGCCAGGAGCTGCCGACGCCTCCCAGGAGGCTTCCGGCTTCTACGGGACGGACCTGGAGGACCGAGACAGAGGAGAGGAGCGGGAGAGGCGGGGCGGGGAGGAAGAGGAAGAGGAAGAAGAGAAGGACGAGGATGACGTCCTGGAAGCCTCGGAGGGAAACCACACGACGCCGGACCTGGACTCTCTGATCGGTCAGTAGGAGTCGTTTCTCCCACAGAGCCTGAACGCACCATCAGGCGGCCATGTTAGCCGAGTTTCTGCTGAGCGGTTCTGAACCTGCTGTCTCCACCAGAGAGCTGCATCTTCAAAGCAGTTGTTGTTATTCCACAGATGTCTGGGATCAAATGTTTGCTTTGGGGCAAAACCAGGTTTTAATCCGGTGTTTCTGCAGACGGAGCTGCTGCGCTTTGCTCAGTAAACATCACGTCTGCAGCTCTGGCAGCAGCAGCAGCAGCAGCTTCACCTTCTGGAGGCTTTAAAACATTCATTCAGCCGACGGCCAACGTTCAGCCTGGACATCTGAGGAACTTTGATCTGAGTCTGAAATATCTCCAGCCGCTGCGCTGATTTCTATAAAAGTTTGTGCAGATTTTAATGGTTCACTGAGGATTAATCCTCATGATTTTTTTAACGCCTCACTTTTCCTTCGGCCTCGACAGCAGCTTGATATTTGTAGTTTTTGACGGGATTAACATTCAGGCTTCCTTGAACCTTGAAAAACCTGCATGTGGGTTTAAAAGGCCGTTTTTAAAAAAATAAAATCCCCCAAAATTAAACCATTTGTCAGAGCAAGACGCTGTACAGACAGGATGAACTGCTGGATTTTTCTTTCTGTTTCAAAGTTTAAAATTCACTATTCACTATTCATTATTCTTCTCGTCAAATTAAAAAAAAAAAAATGCCAATAATAAACAATTTGCAGCAACTAGAATCTGAAAAAAAACTAAAAATTCTGCACTTCTAAGCACAACTGTAGAGCTGTCAGCGACTCAGCTGCAACCAGCAGCGATGTGACGAAAATTGTTTTCAGCTGAACTGCAGGAAGTGTTTACACAGAGAGGAAACAAACTGAAGATAAGTAGAAAAATGTTTACGGCATGTCGAGCCACCGCTGTGTTTTGTTAGTATCTGGAGCACCTTTAGTCAATTTATCAGAATCAGAATCAGCTTTAATGGACAAGTAGGTGAACAACATACAAGGAATCTGGTTTCGGCTGTTGGTGTCGCCCTGGGAATTTGCAGGAATAATAGAAATAGGAAAATTATAAAATAAAAAATAAAGTAAAATAACAACAGAAAGAAAAGAATAAAATAAAATACAATAAATATTAATAAAAAAAAAACAAGATAATAAGACAAATATATACAAGAATGTACACATCCAAGCAGAACAGGTACATGTACGTTGTGCAAAAGATGCAGAGAAATTAAACAAAAACAAACTAATTCCTGTAGAGAGCAGTGCCGAGGCCGCCATCCACGGCGCCATCTTGCCTAATGTAATATAAAATGAAAATTCTTTTTTTTTTTTAATGGTTTATGGCATTATCTAATTGTTATACGGCACGAGCACCCAAACAGCTTCTGGTTGTTTTACTCACTGTAGGTTTATTTTTCATTGTAATATAAAGTCCAGCACCTCTATGGAAACAGAACAACCAGGACTAGAAGGAGAGAGACTCAGAAATGTGTTCACTGTAGAATGACACAGTTAGAAAGACAGAAATCATTAAAAAAAGAGGGAAAAAAACCCTGAAAGTTTAATTTCTTTTATTTATTATTTCACAAAAATGGAATAAAAACCCCAAATCTATATATCTAACATTTTCCCGAGTGATACCAACACTGGAAGAAGAATTGTGCCTCTACTTACTATAAGTAATTTACTGCTTGCGTCTTCCATTTAGCTTCAAGGTGGAGCAGTGGTTAGCATCGTTGCCTCACAGCTAGAAGGTAGCCGGTTCGCATCCCGGTGAGGACACCCAGGATCTTTCTGCGTGGAGTCTCCATGTTCTCCCCGTGCAGCGTGGGTTCTCTCCGGGTTCTCCGGCTTCCTCCCACTGTCCAGGAACATGCTGAGGTTAATTGGTGATTCTAAATTGTCCGTATGGATATTATAAGTAATTTACTGTCTTCCATTTGTGTTCAGCCGAAAAGTTGCAGAATTTTTGCCAAGCGTCCGTTGGTCACAGCTGAGCCACTAAAGATTTCTCAGCTGTGACGAAGAGTGCAGAATTTCTTGTTTTTTACAGAACCCGCTTTGTGCAAATGCTTGATTTTTGTCACATTTTTCAACGAGACATGCAGAGAAACTTGATTTTAATGAGATGTTAAGCTTGTGTTGCAGACGATTAGTTCAAGGACCGTTAGAAAGTTGAATAAAAAAAAGATTCTTTGTGTGTTTGCAGCTTTTGAATCTAAAAAATGATGTCGTTTTGGCCGTTTCAAGAACTCACCATTCAAAGCCAGTAATGGATTTTGCAGTTCAGAGCATAAATAACCACTTTAATGCTGCAGAACTGCACATATCAGGATTATATGTCGATGTGCATTAATTATCTCACCGGCTGCGTCCATGTTTGCTTTTGCTCGACATACATTAGAGAAGAATCAACCAGGTTAACTAGTTTAACTCCTCCCACCTTTACTTGTTTGGCAGTAAACAGGTGAGAGAGCTTTTTGTTGTTTTATTTCTTCATCCTGATTCAATCTAATTGGTTCTTTCCTCCTCATCCAGTATGAACGTCGATCATTTTTAACTACCAGCTGCGTCTCCTGTGAGTGTTTCAGGAAGCAACCTGTCCAAACCTGATGGCGGTCAACACACACCCAGAGCCATGTGTTTCTGACGTTCTGTCTTTGTGTCCTGCAGGCTACAGTCCGTCCTTCCACCCGTCCAGCTCCCAGGAGCCCAGCGTCTCCTTCCCGGCCGAGGGGCACGATCCTGGGCTGCAGGAGCATCGAGCGTCCCCCGTCCTGGAGGTGAGAAATACATCCACACGTCCCGATCAGCATCATCCAAAGAAAGATGCTGTAATTAAACTTGAACAGTTTTTACGCGCAAATAATCAGAAAAGGTGTCACGTTTCTGTAACAAACGTAATTTATGAGGGTTAGTATTTGACGATTAGTCCACACGCAGATGCTCATTTTGTATTTTTGTGGTTTTTCTGTTTCCTCAAAGACAAACACGATGAATTAACTCATCACTCAGGACTTTAAGGCCTCCGACAAACTGCTGAAACCTCGTCTGCTGCTCGGTTCCTGAAGCAGAACCGACACAGACGCTCTTCTTCCTCTAAACAAGATCATAAAACGAGTTCATTTAAAGCTGTCGTTCCTTCATCCAGCCACTCACGTCTCCGTTAACGAGAGGAGAAAAAAAAAATCACGGTCGGACTTTAATTGGATTGCGTTAATTCAGATGTAATCCGGGGCTCACCTACTAACCCCCCCGCGCCCAATCATTTAATTAGTCCTTAACTGCTTCGCCGGATTAGCGGCGTCTCATTGGCCCAGACCGGCCGCCCGGGCGGGAAGAACTAATTCAGCAAATAAACCAACGCTGGGCTCGTTTAATTGAACCTTCGGTTTACACATTAACGGCAGCAGACTTTTAAATCCCCGTCTCTCTTTGTTTTAATTTAGTTTATCTGTTTAGTCTTCACTGCTTCTGCTCTGCTGTCCCGTTTACCGCCAACATGACGGCTTCTGCTCAGGTTCTTAAACTAGCAGGACCACGTCCAGCACCGCTATCATCACTCCTCCTGCTTCCTTTACTTGTGCAGTCAGACTTTCACCTCTATTCATTGCTTCTCATGTAAACATCACAGAAACACGGTTTATTATTTAACCCTCCTGCTCCCTTTAAATTTATCCTCTATCCTCGGGTTCAGTTTGAACCTCCAGAAAGTTGTCATGCTTACAACTATTACCAAAGTTTATGTGTAAATATGAGGTGAACATCTGGACCTCCATCCATCTCCTCACTCTGTATTCTGCAGGTTGGTCCCTTAGAGAGGGAGCTGTGGGAGGCGGAGGGGGAGGAAGACGTCCAGTCCAGCGGTTACGGAGTCCCTCGTCCCTCCATCACAACCGCCAGAACCACATCTGCTGCCACGGCGACGTCCACCGCCGCCGCCGACGGAGACGCCGCGGGAACCGCAACGCCTGAGACCGACACCGGAACCGACTTCGGGCTGCTGGGAAGCTACACAAAAGGTACAACGTCACAATATTAAACTTAGATTTGATAAATTTTCCTAAAGACACTAAATGTCACACGTGATGAGTTAAAAGACCGCCGGACTGTAGAAAATCTGACATTTTTTTCTGTTTTTACAGCTTCTTGCTCTGATAAATGGGGTATTTTTGGTGATTTTTCAAACGTAGCACCGCTCTCAAAGCTTGTTTGGGTTTTGAGATGCAATGTGTTAATTAGCGAGCTTCAGAGGTGCTGAAAGACAGATCTCGTGTTCTTCAGACGCAGTCTCCACCATTTTTTAAGTCATTATGCTAAACAGCTGCTTCGGTGTCGTTTAATTCGGGCTGCGTCTCATTTTTTTGACGCTTTGTTGAGTCGCCGCCGAAAAATTAAGAAAGTTTGGAGCGTCTCAAGTGACAAAACAAAAACTTTCTGCCTGAAGTCATCTGCTGCTCGTGTGTTTTAAGACGTGACGGAGGACGAGGAGGCGGAGAGGAAGGAGGTAGAGGAAGAGGAGGAGGAGGAGGCGGGTCTGACGCACCTGGACGCCTTCACCCAGAACCCCACGGCGCCGGAGGTGGGCTTGGCTCCCAGCAGGGAACCTCTGCAGCCCAGCGTGGAGGAAGAGGAGGAGCATGGCGAGTCCAAAGGTACGTTCAGGCTGTTACCTTAACCAATCAGAGCCTAAATGTCATTTTTTAACTTAACTAATTTAGTTTAACATCAGTTTTAAGAAACAAAAATGAGGTTAATCAGAAAAATACTGGATCTGGTGGTTAAATAAACACATAATTGGTCGTTTTATTCGTCTCTCCAGAGTCAGACGCCTTTTTAAAGCTTTTCCAACTTGTCTCATCAGCTTTTTTCAGAACGTTACACCTACAGCGAGTCTAACTTCACTGTTCTTTCTTTATCCTGAAGTCCTGAAGGGAAAACTTCCGCCTCAAATGAAAGACGGCAGCGAGGAGGTGGACGAGGAGGAGATGGCGGCGACGGAGAAAACTAAACTCGTCCCGCTCACCACCGATGCCTCTCTGAGTGTCGGCGTCACCTACGACGACCTCAGTGGGATGGAGAAGAACCAGCAGGTATATTTACGCCTCGGAGGATGTGGCTGGAAGCAGGAAGAGCCAAAAAACAACAATAATAAGACGAACCTGTCCTCCTTCAGGTGGTTTGCATCGACTGGAGCGAGCTGACCGGACGCGGCTACGTCGTCCTGAACATGACGCAGAACATGAACTGCGTGAGTGAAAGGAATCAATATCAGATTTAAAATGTGCCCAAAAACCCACCAGCAGGTTTAAAAGTTATGTTATGAAAGAGAGAACTGTTAGATTTCCTATGGTCTTTGAACTACTCATCATCTGATTCATCAAAATCATTTAATTCTACACGAGTCATTTAAAAAAATTTTGCCCAAAATGAACCGTTTGCTTCAATCTGATTCTGTATAAAATAAAAATTTCTCACTCCTCGGTGTCATTTCACACCGAGCAGAAGGAAAAACACATTGAAGACAACATGTGCACTCATTTACTTATTTTTTCTTTATTATTGTTCTACAATCTTACTCCAGTGTTGTCAAGAATTCTCATTATCCTCGTTTTTGTCTTATTTATTCAGACTTTTTGCAGCAAGAAGGTCGCCGGTTCATGTCCTGGTGAGGACACCCGAGATCTTTCTGTGTGGAATTTGTTTTCCTCCCACAGCCCAGAAACATGCTGAGGTTAATTGGTGATTGTAAATTGTCCGTAGGTGTGAATGTGAGTGTGCTTGGTTGTCTGTCTCTAAGTGTAGCCCTGTGATAGACTGGTTACCTGTCCAGGTGAACCTGCCTTCACCCTGAGTCAGATGGGATAGACTCCAGCCCCCCATGACCCTAGTGAGGATTAAGCGGTGTATAGATGATGGATGGATGGATTTGGTTCAGCTTTCCAACATAGCAGTGATGAGTAGTTCAAGGACCGTTGGAAAAGTGAAAATCTTTTTCCTTCTTTTTTTTTTTTTTTACAGTTTTCAGCTCTGATATATTCTAATTTTAGTATTTTTTTTAAAGATAACACGCCTTCAAACCCTTCAACCCCAACTCTTTCTGTACATCAACAAGGTAGAGAACGCCCTTTAACCCTATTCAGGACTTTTGGGGTCTTTTGGACCCCCAGGCCGTTTGGTTTAGGTGACAAATATTGTCTTTTTATTTTTCAAGATTTTTTTTTTTTTTTATATAAAAAGAGGGACATTTGTCATGCGTTTGGAACCAGAAATACATCAACTGATCAGAAAATATATTAAACACAATATAAAAGTCTGCGATGAAAACCAACAAATATTTTGCGCATATTCTCTCTTGGGGTCCAATGGACCCCGAAAGACCTTCTACATATGGAAACATGAAAGTCCTGAATAGGGTTAATGGAAGCTGCAGCTTTTGAACGCCGGTAGATGTTTCCGATCTGTCACCAGATTCTTTTCCGTCCGCTCATTTTCCCCAAAATCCAACATCCCAGCTATGACGTGATCTGAGCTTCTCTAACTCGCTGCAGCTGAAGGCCTTGAGTTGAGCCTTACAGACGGGACAGCTGGAGAACGTCTGCTTTCATGTCGAGGCAGGAAGGACCCTCACCGGCGTCTGTCGCCACGGCAACAGCACAAACCCTCGGCAGCCTTGCGGTTGTTACGGCAACGTGGATGGAGTTAGATCTCCTCCAGCACATCTCCTCATCGTTTTTTTTCTTCTCCTCGCTGGTGTTTAGCATCTTTTGTGTTTTGGCTCCAGAATTTAAAAACAAACATCTGAAAAATGTGTTTTTTTTGTGACAGGAGGAGTTTCGAGTCTGTCAGGGCGTCCAGCTGTTGAAGGTGCTGGAGCGAGTGTTTGCCCGGAGACTGAACAGCCCCGAGGGATCGTGGGTGATCTACCTGAGCAAGCCGACGCACCAGCAGCACCAGCTGCTGATGAACGTGGCGTCTGAGCGCGGTACGCACAAACACCTCCACGACTCTGATTACAGCATCTACAGTCGTCCTCAGATTTATTCAGACCCTCCCATTAAAGAAGGAAAAAAAATAAATTGACAAAAGTAATAATAAATAAAAATTAAGTGAACATCATGACATTGCTTTTGGATTGTGGCTCAACAGAATTTTTTATTTTTTTAAAAATAAAAATAAAAATAAAAACCAGCATGATGGGACCCGTAAACTAATATTTAGTTGAACAACCCTTTGAGCCAATCGCTGCCATCAGGTGTTTTCTGTAAGCTGAAATCAACATATTAAACATTTTTTCCACATGGTTTTGCTAATAATAGGAAGAAAAATGACAGCTCTATACGTATTTTATTTGTCACATTATGTATGCTTTATCTATGCACAGCCTGCAGTTCAGCCCGAAAGTCCCTGAATTTTTGTGACATGACTGTTAATTACTGCTGAGTCATTTATAGCTTCATGGTTGCACTGATGACTGCAGAATTATTTGCATTTTACAGAATCTAGTTAAAGCAAAGGGTTAAATTTTGGCATTTTTTTGAAAATCTTTGTGTGTAGAATAAAATGATTTTGATGAAATATCTCGATTTTAAGCTTATATTTGCCTAATTTTCTAAAAAGAACTGCACGTCACACATGATACATTCAAGGACCGTCAGAAAGGTGAAAATCTGACTGTTTTTTCTATTTTTACAGTTTCCAGCTCTGATAAATGGTGACAATTTTAAAATACAACAAGCCTTTTAAACCCTCTTGGCAAGTTTTTGGGGGTTCAGTCTGGAAATAAACTCTACATGTTGCAGGGTTTTCACTTTCTGTCAGCCCTGAGCTGCAAACAGCCTCGATAACCTTCAGCAGTAATGCAGACGGGCCGAGAGGAGGAACAGTGGGAATGCTCTGCGCCGCTAACTGCTCCCTGTTATTGCTTCGACCGCACAGTAATAAGGGAAAGAGACTCGGACGAGCGTGTCAGCGTTTTTTCATCCGTGCAGCGCCTCAAAGACGCTTCCAGAGACTTCAGGAAGAAAATAGACCTGAAAAAAAAAACAAAAGAGCACAAAGTAGGATTCAAATTAAATCTCCAGCCTTGATTCTGGCTTTAATCTTCTCTCAAGGCTGAAACGTTCGACTATCTGCGTCGGAGTCCTTCGCTCTTCGGATTAACAGATGAAAACAGACGAGCCGACGTCACCAGGAGTTATTTCGAGTCGCCTCTCCGCGGGGGTTTGATATCAGAAAACCTTCAACTGTCTGAAACAAGAGCCGACGTCAGGATGCACAAACAAAGACGTCGAGGGAATCCTTCAAACGATGATTCAGTGCAGGCAGGCAGACGCAGGATGTTCTGGCTCTGAACACAGACGTCGGGTTTAAACTCTGTCAAACGTGTCTTTCAGGTGTGATCGCGACCAAGGACGTGCTGAGGATGCTGGGAGAGATCAGGAAGAGTCTCGAGAAGGTACGACGTCCTGGAAGGGATTTGTTTTCGTCCACGTGATCGTTGCAGCAAATGAAAGCAGATCTCAGACTCCTGCTCCCGTCAGAAGCCTCTCTTCAGTTTATTTTTATTTTCGTGAGACCTTCACAAATAAATGTTAAATCTCACATTTTGCCCACAAGATTTGCACGAGGCTGAAGTTTTTTTTAAGTGTCTTCAGATGTCACCAACACTGCAAAGAAAATGTTTGACTGTTTAGATGTTCAGTTAGTTTCCAGACGTGTCTCTTGTGTGTTTTGTGTGAACACTTCCTGCACTTCAACCGAAAACTCTCAGAATTGTTGCATGTTGGTCGCAGCTGAGTCACTGATGGCTTCGTGGTTGCATGAAGGAGTGCAGAATTTTTTCTTTTTTTAACTATCTGGTTCCAGCACAAGGTTTATTTTTGGCAAATTTTTAAACGAGACATGTAGAATAAAGTGATTTTAATTAAATAGTACATATAGTTTGGGCTAATTTTTTAAATGAAGCCAAAAAGTCACACATGATGGGTGCAAGAACTGTCTGAAAATAAACATTTGAGGATTTTTTTTGTTTTTACGGATTCTGAATTTGATAAATTGTGTCTTTAAGGTGATTTTTTTGTTTATTTTTTCATATATTTTTCAAGACAACATGCTAAAACATCATCCTAATAATATAATTATCAGTTTATTCTGTAGAGTGGAAATGTTCACGTCTGACTTTCCTTTAAACAAGTCTGATTTTATTTCATTTTGCGGGGATTGTGTGTACAGTTTGTGTTCATATCTAGTTAAACTGTTTGTGTGTTTGTCATCAGATGGGCATCGAGAGCTACAGCGCAGCCAGCACCTGCCAGTCTCGGCCCAGTCAGACTCGCAGCGACTACGGCAAACTGTTCGTGGTTCTGGTGATCATCGGCTCCGTCTGCATGGTCATCATCACGTCTGGATTCATCTACATCTGCTGGCAGAGACGACTGCCCGCCACCAAGACCACCGTGGGTCAACAAACACAAACAAACAAACACAAACAAACAAACATCCATGTTGTTGTGTGACTGTGTGGTCAGAACGAGTGAAGCTGAAACTGTCAGAAGAAAGTTTAATCATGATTTTATCGCATATTTCTACACAGTTTTAATCTTATATCCTCAGTTATGCAGGAAAAAAGCCAACAGATGCTCTAAAGGTTAAAATAAACAATGAATACAATTAAATATGTTAAAACGTTAAATGTTTTATATTTATTGTTTTTGAAATTTGCTGCTGAAGGTTGAACCATGAAGCAAGTTCAACATATCCAGGCTTTTATTATGTTAGCCGGATCAACAAAACCTAAAACCCCAATCAGAGAAAATAAACATCACGACGGTGGTTATTAACTTTGTTTGTTTGCAAGGTTTTCTTCTGCAGACAAAAGCACGAGAAAAGTCGCCTCCAATACGCTCAAAACCGTATAAATAAGCCTCGGAAGGTTTGGGATTCTGTTTTGTGGAGCGATGAAACAAATCTGGAGCTTTTTGGGCCCATGGATCAGAAGAATGAGGCTGAGAAGGACACCCTGCCGACAGTGAAGCAAACTCGGCGATGCCCTTTGTGTCTTCTGGAAACCTGCAGCGTTTGGAAGATGGATTCAGTCCAGTATCAACAAATCGTTGGAGAAAATGTCACGACATCTGTGAGGAAGCCGAAGCTTGGGCATCGTTGGGCTTTCCAAGCATACCTCAAAGTCCACCAAGACTTGGCTTCAGAAAGAGTCCTGGAAGACAGTAGAATGGCGTCACAGTCGCCTGACTTGAATCTTATAGAAAATCTTTGGTGGGAATTGAAAGAGGCGGTCGCAAACCCAAGAACATTAGAGCACTGGAGGCTGTTGCCCATGAGAAAGGAATGCTGTCGGAACCTGGTGTCCGGCGATGCATTACGTTAGCAGCAGGTCGTAGCAGCAGAAGGGCTCTCTAGTAAGGACTAAAGATGCTCGAGATTATAGATTTTTTAAAGTCTTCGGCTTAAACGAAGCAGGCGACGCGTCATTGGTCCATTTTCTGCAGAAGAAGAATCAAATAGCAGCATTTTAATTGGAGACCAAACAGGTCCTCATCGAGCGGTGGTTATTATCTCTGGTTGGGGTTTTGGGTTTTGTTAAGCCAGCTCTAGCACAAGGAAAGTCTGGATATGTCGAACTTTCACACTCAGGAACGCACAATGTCCTTTGTGCGTGTTTTATTCAGCTCAGATTAAGTCTCAAGTCTTCACCCTTTGCTTTAATTTACGTTTATGACTTCTGAATGTGTCCTGAGTAACTTATTAAACATCCTGTACTTTTTCCAGTTTCGCGCCGAGGAGCTTCACTTCGTGGAGAACGGTTGCCACGACAACCCGACGCTGGACGTGACCAATGACGGCCACCCGGAGATGCGCGAGAAGAAGCCGAGCACCAATGGGCTCGCAGGGGGCGGAGAAGGAGGCGGGGAGGAGGGCAGTCGCTGGCAGGTGATTGGACGACTCGTTAGCGAAACGTATCGGCAAAGTGAAATAATTAACCGGGGTTAAGACTCGACTGTGTTTTGGTTTTTTATTCCAGGTGTTTGTCAATCAGGCGGCGACGGAGGAGGAGGAAGAGGAGCAGGACACACATCTCTGATCGACGAAGAGGCGAGGCGTGTTTTTATGGACAGATGGAGGAACGAGGAAGACGACGGGATGGAAGCGGAGAAAAATGAAGGAAAAGTTTGTTGATGGAAGACGTGTTGTCCGGTCGGAGTTAGACGAGGAGCTCAGCAGGAGGAGTCACTGACGTCATTCTGGATATCAGACGCTCAAATCTTTTTGATAGAGTTCAAAAAGTTGAGACAAAAATGAGAATTTAATTTAAGAAATCGAAACCCCAGCTCGATATCGGCTCCTGTGCCCATCACATGCATACGTTTAGCCCTGTGCCTTAGCTCTGTAGACAATTTAAACCGGAGACAAATCGTGGCGCGAAGCACCTTTTCCCACCTTTAAAGTTTGAATGTAGAGGAGCTTTAATGTCATGAATTAAGTGAAACAACATGAATAACATGCAACTGCTAATAGCCACAAATTTATTTTAGTATTTTTTGAATTTTTAGATCAAAACACCCTTAAAACACATTCGCTAATTCATTGTATTTTTTTTTGCATTTTTACCCCTTTTTATTTAACAGGTAAAACGGTTAAATTCAAGTTTAATTTGTAAAATTAGACAAAATTAACAACAATTAGCAGAATTTTGTAAAAGTAGCCTCAAATAAAATGTTCACAGCTTAAAGTAGATATCCAAGAAGTTTGATTACCGGTGGTGGAATGTAATTGAGTATATTTAGTTTAGCTACAGATTAATATTTTGCGTATAAAACCCATCGCAATCTTAAAAAATACACTATGACAGAACAAAACTACTCAACAGTGTTCAACATCGTCAAAAATTATACGACAGTAAAATTACATTTTATTGCCTAAAAATGTAATATTGGGCTATTTTCTAGTAATACTACAATCACTGAAGTGGTGGAATGTAACCGAGTATATTTAGTTTAGCTACAGATTAATATTTTGCTATCATGAGCCTAGAAAATTCATTTTTATAGCTAAAGCTACCCAACAGCCTACAAAATCGTCAAAAGTTGCACCAAAAACTACAATAAAATGAAGTAAAAACACGGTTTTTATGCATAAAAATGGAGTATTTTCCATTTTTTCCTGCTAATACTACAATCACTGAATTGTTGAGTATATTTGCTAAAGCTACAGATTCATATTTTCATATAAAACCAATCATGATATTCAAATATACACAATAACAGAACAAAACCACCAAACAGTATTCAAAATCGTCAAAACTTGCACCACATGCTGCTGTAAAATTAAAGTAAAAACTCACTTTTTATGCATAAAAATGGAATATTTTCCATTTTTTTCTCCTAGTAATTCTACAAACAGATATTTAATTGAGCTACAGATTAATATTTTGCGTATAAAACCTGTCATGATCTTCAAAAATACACTACAACAGAACAAAACTACCCAACAGTATTCAACATCTTCAAAAATTGCACCAAATACAATCAAAAAATGAACACAAAAATGTAGTTTTTTTACATTTTTTCCAGCAATACTAGAATCACTGAAGTGGTGGAATGTAACCGAGTATATTTAGTTTAGCTACGGATTAATATTTTGCTGTCATGAGCCTAGAAAATACATTATTATAGCTAAAGCTACCCATCAGTCTACAAAAACGTCAAAAGTTGCACCAAAAAATACAATAAAATGAAGTAAAAACTCAGTTTTTATGCATAAAAATTGAGTATTTTCCTTTTTTTTCCATTAATACTACAATCACGTTTAATTTAGCTACGCAGATTAATATTTTGCTATCATGATCTTCGAAAATACATTATTATAGACAAAGCTACCCAACATTACACAAAAAATGTCAAAAATTGCACCAAATCCTGCAGTAAAATGGAGTAAAAAATTTACTTTTTATGCATAAAAATTGAGTATTTCACATTTTTTCTGACTAGTACTATGTCACTGAAGTTTGAGTATATTTACTTTAGCTACAGATCCATATTTTGCTATCATGATAATCAAAAATACATATCAGAACAAAACCCAACTGTATAGAAAATCACCAGAATTGTACCAAATACTGTCAAAAAAACATTTACAAAAAAATGTAGTATTTTGCATTTTTTTGCTAGTAATACTAAAATCCCTGAAGTGGTGGAATGTAACCGAGTATGTTTAGTTTAGCTACAGATTAATATTTTGCTTATAAAACCTGTAGTGATCAAACAAAATACATAATAATCTAAGACACTACCCAACGGTATACGAAATCGTCGAATAAAAAAAAACTCACTTTATGACGCGTACAAATTTCGTGTTCGCTTTTTTTCCAACTAGTACTACAATCACTGAAGTAATACCCTGAATGTAAGACTCGGAATGGAGTATTTTCACAACGTGCATTCGAGTTTAACGAGTATTGAGCTTTAGAAACGGTCCGACAGCAGCGACTCCTCTTGGCTGCTCCTCCGAACAGGAAGTTGAGCCCGTAGCAACTTTTGAGAGTCCAAGTTTCGGCACTTTATCGATTCCTCTCGGAAAATAGCGACTATCATCGTTGAGAAATGCTGCATCATGTTAAATGTTATCACGTACGGTGACTGAAATATCTCTATTTTTGCTTATAGGAATGGTTGTTAAGCGCTGGGGATGTTTACTCTTCGACTCGGCGACTCGTCTTGTGTACTCGTGTGCCGTTTAGCCGCTTTATTTGTTTTTTTTGTTCGTTAATTTTTTTCGGGTTTATTTCCGATAGCGCTGGAAAAAATGGCTGCCGTATGCTGCTGGCTAAATCTTGAGGCTATGACACGTGGGCGACGACATTTACAGGCCGAAAGCATGAACATATAGCTAGTACAGTGTCCGAGTCCGAGTCGCCAAACCCCGAGTCCAAGTCGAGCTCCAAGTCTTCAGTGTTTTAGTGTTTAATGTTTAAGTCAGAGACACCGAGGACGTGTCAGAGTCCCTACGGTCGTTTTTTAAAATCACTACTGTCGTGTCCGAGTCACTAGGGTCATGTACGAGTCATTACAGTTGTGTTTGAGTCAACGTCATAACAACAACATTCGAGTAGCTGTGTTCGAGTCCCTACTGTTTGGTCATGACAATACTTGGTGGATGAATGCAGTGACTCCAACATGCAGTTCGAGTCACTCCAGTCGTTTTCAAGTCATTACATTCATGTTTAAGTCACTACATGACCGAATAAACACAGTTATGTTCGCGTCCCTAGAATCATATCCAAATGACAGTGATCACAGTTACTGCAGTGATGTCACCAAGTCACCAGGACTGTGTCCAAGTCACAAGGGTCTTGTCTGAGCCATTTCAGTCCTATCACAACAATCATATCCAAGTCACTACAGTCATGTTTAAATCACTTGACTCACAAATGACGTTTGAGTCACTATGATGTTGCTCGAGTCACTATCGTGATGTCCAAGTCACAACAGCAATGACCAAATCAACACGGTTGTGTTCCTGCCCTTGAATCATATCTGAATGACAGTGATCATAGTTACTACAGTGATGTCCAAGTCACCAGGATTGTTTTTGAATCAATACAGTCGGATTGTCCGAGTCATAAGGATTATGTTTGAGTCACCGAGTCGTCAAGTTTTGAGAGTAAAATTTGAGTAGTGTGGTCACGTTCAAATCCCTACAGTTTGACCACGACTGTGTTTGTAACTTGGACATGAATGTTGTCCTGTTCATGTCTGCATGACGACAGTCATGTCAGAGTCATTATAGTCACGTCCAAGTCAACACGAGTTTAAGTCATTTTCACTTCTGAAGCTGTGATTGTGTTCGAGTCACTCTGATCATGTCTGAATCTCTGTTGTCATCACCGAGTCATGTTCGAGTCACTACGATCATGTCCGAGTCGCATCAAAGTCATGTTTGTGTCACTACGATCATGTCTTTATCGAGGTGTCCATGTCCTTATGGATATTGTCTGAGTTCAAAAACATGGCAACAACTGATGAACCACATTTAAAGTCCAAATTAACTCGTCAAAAGTCTTCGCATGTCGCATTAATCAGTCACTTTGTCTCATTGAAAACCGTAACATCAGGCATCAGAAGGACGGAAATAATCAGATGTTTTTCTGACTGTCAGTAGGACTCGACTCAAGTCGCTGCTGGAGCAGAAACAGACGATCAGCAGCTGTAGCCGACTTTTACGTTGTTTTACTTGTTTTTACCACCGACGCTGCTGCCGTCTGCCTCCGTTCCAGTTCCCCCATCGAACATCTGCATCCCACCACGACGTCGCCGGTGCTTTCGCTCTTTTACTCTGACTTTTCTCGATGTAACAATACTGTATATGGCTTCACTATAAACTATCGATATGCACTTTGTCAGCTACGCAGGACTTCAGGACAAACTGAGAACTGCCTTTCGTGAATACTTTAACTACCTGCCTGCCGCGTAGATTATCCGTTTCTGAGAGCACAACATGCAGGCAGTCCTCGAGTTGTCCACCAGGAGGCAGAATAGACGAGCATGTAGCTTTCAGCTCCGCAGCGAGCGCCGATATAACACAAACACACACACCGCCGATGTTGCTTTTAGTTCGACGAATGAGAGACTTTGCGTCGCTTGAACCGAGCAGATTATTTGAGTTTTTCTTCTCGGATGCTCGCGGCAGCCTCGTGGATGTCTGTCAGCGGGCATTCAGCTGTAGCAAAACACACACAGATGACCCTTTGTAAAGAAAACAAGGTACGACGTGAACATCTAAACGTTTGGTTGAGTCTTGATTCGTTCATTTTATTTGTCTCTGTTGTGTTCCGGGTCTTTTTTCTACGTCGGTTTTTATGCATTTTGATCACATATCGTTTCACTTTCTTTGGTTGTCAGTGTAATAAGTTAAGTGTGAGAAATAAAAATTTGAAGAAAGTCAGTTTTCTTGTCATTTCTTCTCCATGAAACACAAAATTAGTGCAGAAAAAAAAATGACTGAATCGATTTATTTTTTTAAATCTTTTGCTGCTGATTTCTTTACTTCCCTAATTATAAATTAACAGTTGATCATCGTTAAACTTTGGTTGCTGACACACTGTGGCCACAGTTGCAGACGACACAATAGATTCTTCAACTTTACTGACAAAATTTTGTGCAATTCACAATTTCCACCTGTAAAAAAATCCCAACTTTAATTTTACAGAATTTTTCCGTCCTAAATTGTGGCCACAGTAGAGCTATAACGTGTGCACAAAATACTGCTTCGTTTCCACGTTATAGCCATACTGTGGCCACAAAACAAGTATAACGTGTGCACGAAATACTAATTTGTGGCCCTGAAGTAGGTATAATTTGTGCACAAAAGTTTAATCGTTCCTGGACAACTGGGTGAGCAAATCGAGCGCACCTTAACTGTTACACCCTACGTACAGATTAGTTCCTGGATTTTTAAAATTAGCAAATATATAAAATTTCAAAAACAGACTGAAATTACACATTTAATGTAAAAAATAACATTAAAAACCTTCATCTGAATAGATGTAAAAATGTGAAAATTTTTGAAGATGAACGATCTTTTTTTTGCATTAAAATCTCTCATTTTACAAATATTTATTTTTATTTAATAGATACAGCTACTGTCATACTATATATATATAGTAGGTCATTTCATTGATGTTACACATTAAAAAAGACCCACAAAAGAGCAGAATTTCATGAAGAAGACTAATTAAGGCTGGAAAATGTATTTTAATGTTGGAAAATTCTAGATTTTTATTATACAGTGGGTTTTTTGAGTCCTAGCTGCTGAAATGTGACCCTTTTCTTCTCTTTTTTGTCATATTACAGCGTAGTTTCCATCTAAACTCTGCAGACACTTTGATAATACATCTGAAATCAAGTTTTAATAAAAACAAAAACAAAAATATGGTTCAGAAGCTGAGACAGAGGTGTAAAGGTTCAGCTAACACCTTTTAAATAAAGTGATTCCAATATTTGCACATTCACATTTGAAAAGCTGTTTTTTTACACTCACATATGAACTAAATCCTTAGAAACGTCTGTATTTATCAATTATCTCATTTATTTTATCATTC